CTTTTTTTTTTTTTTTTTTTTCCCCTTTAGGCAGTGTTGTTTGACTTCAAAGTGGTTATTTATCTGCACGCTTGCTCAAAGACTCTCCGAGTCTTTGCCTTCAGGTTCCCTTTGTCTATATTTACACAGAGTTGTTGCAATGTTATGTGAGTCATCTGTAGCACTTGGTACCAATGCCTTTTGCATCTTATAAAATCTCTGCCTTGTTTGTGCAAACCCAGCAACAAAAACCCCATGGGCTTCTGCAAGCGTTGGTGTCGCTTTGTCTGATTCTTAATCTTGTGGTTTTGGCTCATTAACTTACCTGTCTTGTGTTCGTGTCACTGTGAGATGACAATATACTTGTATGGAGGATACAATAACAGAAGGTTGTTGCTGGATAAGGCTTAAATTAAGATAAGTAGGGGGATTTATGCGCCTTTAAGATACACTGCACTCGGTCCCATGGTATTGTTATATGGATGGGGAACAAGGATGGGGGGACTGGCCTGTACGTTCTTGCTCAAAATACCTATTGCTTGTATTTGTATGAAGCTGGCTTCATTTTCTCTGGGTCTTAAATGCGCCACAAAAGATGTTTAAGCTCTTTAGCTCTCCTTTAAACCCCAAAGCAGACAGGACAGGTTGAGTTTGCAGTGGATGCTGGGCACTATGCGCAGAAACAGAGGTTAAGCTCTTTGGAAGAAAGTCCCTCACTTGTGCACATATGAAAATTTGATCTTGAGCTCTTTGCATGATCTCTCCTGGATCTGTGATTTGTCCTGGGATTGCCTAAATATGAGAGTTACTGATAAGAGAATAACGTCATTTATTTATCTGCTGTTGGGAAGAATTTGCGTTGTGGAGTGAGAGATTTTTAGAAGTGACTGGTTTGTTAATGACTTCCTGGTATTTGTTGCAGGAGCAGGATGTATACTCTGCTGTCTGGGCTCTATAAATACATGTTCCAGAGGGATGAGTACTGCATCTTGATCCTTGGTTTGGACAATGCTGGTAAAACCGTAAGTGCTGTTTATTACCGGTTACGCAGAAGGCACACGCAATTCTAAACATCTCCAAAGATAAAATTTCCAACAGACAAGGTCAATCTCTATTGTGAGTTATTTTAGTGATGTCACACCAAAGAATCAACTTTTCCCTCTTACTTAAATTTAGTGTAAGCTTTCAGGGCTGTAGCTGAGGCTTTTTAATCCCATAATCACCCGTGATCCCTTCTTTCTTTGCTAAAATGGGGAACAAGAAAAGTGGTTTGTTCCAAGGTTAGGTAGGGCAGTGTCCGTTGGAGCAGGATTCTGCAGAAAAGAAAAGGCAGGTTTGGGTTAGGATTACCCCAGTCAGTAAAATATTTGAGAGTAAATACTTTTTCTTGTTCCTTTTCAGACCTTCCTTGAACAAACTAAAACTCGATTTAACAAAAACTACAAAGGGATGAGTTTGTCCAAAATCACAACCACTGTAGGCTTAAACAGTAAGTAAATCTGTCTGGGATTTATTTTTTTTTTAGCTTTCCTGCACAATTTCTTGTTTGAAATATTGAAGAATTGGCAAGGACAACATAGTTCCTGGAAGTAGAAATCATATCCCCCAATTCCTTATGTCTTTTTGTAAGAGAATAAAATGGGCTTTCTTAGCTTGTCTTAAAAAAACAAGTATCCCATTTCCATGCTAGGCTCAGAGATTAAACTAAATTTCCCTGTCATTCATTTGTTGGCCTGATTCTGGTATTATTTGCACCGATACACCTCTGATATTAGTGGTCACTCTGCGAAGGTATTGTTTTGTTGTAGAAAGTAGACCCTATATTTGGTTTGTTCCTCTAGAGGACTGGCCTACCCCAGGTTTCTTAGGAGGGTGTGCAGGTGGTGATGCTTTAGAGAACACCTTTAGTTTTCATTGCCTTGTCTTTTCTTCGTTCCCTCTAGTTGGTACTATTGACGTTGGCAAAACTCGGCTAATGTTCTGGGATCTTGGCGGACAGGAGGAACTGCAGTCTCTTTGGGACAAGGTTGGAGATGGTTTTTTTTTGTTTGTTTTAGAAATGTTTTTGTCTCTTTTGGAATTGAAGCAATATGATCATTTAGTAATCGTACGAGCTTATTGGTAACTCTAGTGTCAACACTTTTGCAGAGATTCAACTCAATCTGTGCAAGATTAGCAAAGATGATGCTCGCTATATGCGTAGTTGTTTACAGGCAGCAATTACTAACCCGTAGCTGAGGGTTGTGCCAGTAGAGATAAGGTTTTTGGGGGGACAGATGAACTTTTCCTCCTGTTGTATTCAGTAAGTCTGCAAACAGAGCAGGCAGTGCATTCTGTGTGCCACCATTCTTCTCTCCAGACATATACTATGGAAACAGCTGCCCCTAGCTGGTTGATCTCTTCCACGTGTATCAAAATTTTACCAAATTAAAAGAAAAAAAAAAAGGGAAGAGGAACAAATAGAGGAACAAATGGTCCTGGTGGATAGATACACTAACATCTGTGTTATCCTTCCAGTATTATGCTGAATCTCATGGGGTGATCTATGTTATTGACTCCACTGATGAGGAGAGGCTCTCAGAATCTAAAAGAGCTTTCGGTGAGTACGTTGTGCTTTACCTGTCCTGGGATTTCGTGATGTATTGTGGCACAGTTCTCTCCTTCCTATCGTGTCTATTCCTGTGTCCTTGAAGTAAGCTGTGTGGCCTGCTGATGACACAGCTGTAGTGCTTTTGAACTTTGGTGTTGAAGTCTGTCCTGTCTGTAACACTTCTGTTACCTGTAACGACCTTGAATCTCTTTTTGTGCTTATCCTAATGATTTTGAATTTTTTATTGCTTATTTTAGATTTTATCATCTCATTAATTCTCAGTAATGTGCTCATTGATCAAAATAAAGTTAGGAGTTTGATCTGGGGAAAAAAAAAAAATCTCTGAAGAAAATAGGCCTGAAATTTTGTGTCAAATGAAACTGAAATGCAAGAAGGAGCCTCTTGCTACATCCCTGTGTCCAGACGGTCTGTGTGGGGCATTTGCACAACTTTTATCTTCCAGAACTGGCTAAACCTTTTGGTTTTGTTTCTGTGCTTTATAGAGAAGATGATTACCAGTGAAGCTCTGGAAGGGGTTCCCATTCTGGTGTTAGCTAACAAGCAGGATGTAGAGGTAAGATGATTGCAGATTTACTTCTTAAGTGAGCAGATAAATAACCCTTGGAAAGGTGAGCTCTGCATTCATCTAAATTTGTTTCACGTTCCTGGACTGATCCTATGTTCCCGCTGCCGGAAATAATTGCTTTGAATTTTAACTTTTTTCTTTCTCTAACACTTTTCCAGTGGCATAAATGAGCTTACTACAGGCATGTCCGTCTCGGGTGTTTTGAACTTTTTATGTAAACGGAACAGATTCTGGTGCGTGTTTCTTGTACCATGACTTGGTGTCTGGATATTTGTTTTTTTCCTGTTTATTCAGAAAAAAAAAACCAACTGCTTAGTGCACTTTGTTTATGCTGCTCTACTATTACCCGGGAACAGCCTAACAAATGTATGTGAAGCAATAGCATCCTTTTCCCGTAACCAGAGAAGATCCGTTCAGTGAAACATTTGGTTTGTCTTAGAGCATTCTGTCACTGACAGCAGTGAATGACAGGGAATGCTTTTGATAGGATAATTTGAATTTTTTCTAGTTTATCCAGAACTGCAACACTCTTGTGTTTGGCGAGTTAGTGGGCACTACAGCGTGAGTGTTCAGGTCATGCATCCAGGGCAGTCCTCATCTCCCCCAGCATGGGAAAAAGGGAAGAGAGTGCCTAAAGTGGTTGTGGTACTTTCCATCTTTTCCTCCTCCTTGCCGTTCATTCTACATGGAATTCCAGTACTGCAGTTCGGGTGATTAATCTCTAGATGGAGCCAGAGACTGTCAATAGAATTTGGAGCACTTGGGGCCCCTGGCAGCTGTGATGGGAATCTTTCAAAATATGCGAATACTTCCCAGCTTCTTCCCCTGGACTTTACACCTATCTCAGTGAGCACGTTGTTGGGGAGACTTCCCTAGAAATCGCTTTGCCTTTAAAGGCGGATTTGGTTATACTTCATCTGGACAACACAACAGATTATTATTATTATTATTTTTTTGGATGATTATAAGATTATCTAGTCATAGAAATAAAAGAAATGTAGTTCCACTTAAAAGACAGTGTGAGATTGAGATGGAACTCTTGATTTATGGTCCTGACTTTGCTGTGGTGTCTGGTGTGTGGGGAAATTGACTGATTTTTCTGTGTGGAAACCAGAATATTAGTTCTCATGTTGCCATGCAACGCTACAGCTCTACAGCAGGGAGCAGTCTGCACTCTGGCCTCTCGCAGTTGAGAATTAAGCTGTATGCAGTGACCTGGACAGCTGTTCCAATTTTACTCATGGCTATATATGCATATTTTTTATGGGCGTACTGCAGACACCAGCTCTTCTGGCACCCTGGCCAGACTACAGAAAAATGATTGAACAAATGGACTTTTTTATACGACTAGAAAGATATTTGGAACAGGCTCTCAAGATAATACTATGGCTCCTTGCCCCCTCTGGAGGGTCCAGGACCAGCCCACAGATTTAGTGCCTTTACGCAGTTGTAGAACTGTGACAAGAGATTAGCAAAA